CCCGTCCTGATGGAGAAGATGTTAGCTCTAGACGAAGATGAACAAGATTGTGTTGTCACTACCAATGTCGTCTACAAAGAGGTTTCAATAATGTGTAAATATAATCGATGATATTAATTTTTTTTTTAAATGAAAAAATTGCTATATATCTAGACAAATATATATATATATATATATATATATATATATATATATATATATATATATATATATATATATATATATATATATATATATATATATATCTTCCATACAAATGAATATGGATAGCAATTCATTTCTATAACTGAGTTGTTAGAGAACAAGCACATTTACCTAATGTATGAAAATACTAAACAATGATAAATAAAATCTTCAAAATTATAGGACCACATCCGTACATCTAGACATTAGCTATTAATTTGAGCAATTATTTGCACAAATTCAAGCAATGATAACATCAAAATATATAAACGATTCAAATCATATCTTTAAGTGCAGTATATAATATTTGATGTTCTAATTTAAATAATTATTTATCGATTCATATATTCTTAATATATTACAACATATTCATTCCGTGCATCGCACGGGTGTAAATACTAGTTACTAATAATAATAATATTATTATTATTATTATAACAAACTGTAAATTTAGTATTCGTAAATAAAACGAAATTAGGAAGCTAAGAGTTGGGGAGAAAACAGAGATTGAGGGAAAAGTGACAGAAACCCTCACCTCTGATGTTTGGGTTGGTTTGGGCCTTTGCGGGTTAGAAAAGCCGAAGGGAAATGGAATGCTATTCCTCTTGAAGATTAGCCGTGGAGCAGAGTAGCAAAGGCCAGACGGAGAAGAATGCCGGCCGCCAATGGAGCTCAGTGGAAGACTAGAGAATCGCAGTGGAGAGTGGGGGCGGGGAGACGGCTGAGTCGCAGGGGTGAAGGGCGAAGGCTGATTGTTGATTTTACAATATTTATTTATTTAAAATTTCAGTTAATTAATAGTAAATTTCGGTTAATTGATAGTTTCAAACTAAATTAACTGTTAATTGAAATTCTATAACATTTTTAGTTATTAATGGAATCCAAGTATTTTGGTTAAAAAATAATTAATCAAAATTCATCGATTCCATCAGTTAATTAAACTTTTATCTAAGTTTATACACTCTCACTTAAAACGTTTAAATTAAAGGAATATATTATTATTAATTTTAAAAATATAATAATTGCTCCTCAATTCTCATCTTGTTTAAACCTTGGGGCAATTTATATCGTGCCCAGGGCGCACAGTGCAAAACGACATTGTTTTGTACTTTTTTTTTTTGAAATTCCGTTTTTTTTTATTTATTTATTTTGTGTTTGTTGTTAACTTCTTTTTTTTTTTTTTTTTTTTAAATCCATGTTTCAAAATGTACATAATTGTATAATAGAATGTACATAATTGTATAACAGAATGTACATAATTGTATAACGGAATACCTTCTTTTTTAAAAAGATCATACACATAATCTAATATAATACATAATACACATAAATTCTTAACATAATACACATAACTCTTAACAAAATACACATAAATTTTTAACTCTTAAAAAAAATCACATGTTTCGAATGTACATTTTTTTTTTTTTTTTGAATGCTACTAGCTCTATTACATTGTAGTATCTGTTCATATACTTTCTCAAACTACTGAAACACAAAGAGCTAATAACGCCTCCACTGAAGCTCGAACTTACAATCTTCCAAATGGAAGTCCAACCCGGATACCATTAGACCACATAGTCCTGGTACATGTTTCGAATGTACATAATTGTATAAAAAATGTACATAATTGTATAACAGCATGTACATAATTGTATAATAAAATGTACATAATTGTATAACAGAATACACATATACTCTGTCGCGTCAATTCCCCACACTACTTAACAAAACGACGTCGTTTTAGGAGGGCGGGGCAAACATTGCTATGTGCGTCGTGGTGCACGATATAACGATTGAGGGGCAAATTATATCGTGCACCGAGCTTCAAAACGACATTGTTTAGTTTAATGCGAAGAAACGGAACCCGTTTCCGCAAAAACTATCTTTGTTATTCAGTTTCATTTTGTATACACTGCAGTTTCAGTTCAACACAACTATAGTTTCATTTCGATATAACTACAGTTTCATTCTATATTTATACATTCAAATATGTGAAAATGTTCGTTACGTTATTTAATTTAATTTTATATACACTATAGTTTCATTAAAACACAACTACATGATCATTTCGATATGACTACAGCTTCATTGCACAATATACACTCAAATATGTGAAATGTTATTCAATTTCATTTTATATACAATGCAGTTTCATTTCACCACAACTACAATATCATTTTGATATAACTGCAGTTTCATTTGATAATATATAAAATAATACGTGAGACAGTGTCAGTTTAGATACACTGTAATGTCAGTTGGTAATTAAAACACAAAAAAAATGCGCGCTCTGTTAATAGTAACAACGTGCCGTTTCTTTAATTAAAAGAAACGGCGCCATTTTGACCGCGGTGCACGTACACTACGGTCCACGATATAACGACTGCGATTGAGGGGAATAGGCTCCAGGTTCAAATCCAGTTGAATTCGAGGAATTGAGGCCCAAAAGTTAATTAGATCATGAGAATAATTGAAATCCATAAGCAAGGTTTCTAGGCCTAGATTAGGGTGTTCATAATTTGATAAAAGCACGGTTAGCCAATATAATTGAAAATTTTCGATTAATCATTTTTAATCAAAATATTTTGGTTCATTATTTATATATTGATATTATGACTATTTTATAGTTTGAAAGTAGAGTTAATGAACGATTTGGTCTCTCAATTATTAGCGAATTGTCAATGTAGTCCCTCAATCGCTTATTCATCAATTTGGTCTCCGAAAATAATTATTTTAGTCGATTTAGTCCCTTCGACCGTCAATTTGGTCTCCAAAAACAATTATTTTTAGTCGATTTAGTCCCTTCGGCCATCGATGGAAGACGGCCTGAGAGACTAAATCGACTAAAAATAATTATTTTCAGGAACTAAATCGATGAATAAGCAATTGAGGGGCTATATTGACAGTACGCTAATAATTGAGGGACCAAATTGTTCATTAACTCTTGAAAGTATGAGTTGAAAGATCTTTATATAAAATTATTCTAACTAAATAATAATAAATATAATAAGAGCCAATGAAAGTAATGGTATAACGAAAATAAGGTGTAATTATTTGCAATAATGAGTTTTACATTTTACTTACCTTTTTGTACAATTATAAAATCTTTCCTCATTTGGCCTTAACCTTTTTTTTTTTTTTTTTTTTGTTTTCATAATGGCGTAACAAAAAAGTTACAAAACTTAACAATTAACAATATAAAATTTAACATTGTTATGTTGTTTCCCATAAGGAGTTTGATCCCATTTCATATCCATTCACACAATTTGTTAAGATAATTTAGCATCTTCTACCAATACAACATGCAAAAGTAGCTTCCATGACTTTAATCTGATTTAATCTGAATATTTTAAAGAGAATCCAAATTAAACTATTGTACAAATCTTTTTTTTATCCTGTAGTTATACTATTGACCAGTGTCCACCTTGCAATGTAGACTTTATTCAAAAATTTTACCTTCTTACAGGGACGGAGCCAGAAATTCGGTTGAGGGGGACGAAGAAGTAGGGACGGATTCAGAATTTTTTTCCAGTAAAGACGAAACATTATAACAAAAGAGATAGTTTTTTAAAAAAAATAAACACATCTCATTATTAATATAAAAGAATGTTTTTTATATATGTGTGTGTATTAAATATTAAAAACGTGACTGTGTTAAAACCATAAGGAGTAAAAAAAAAAACTATTGAAGCCAATTATAAAATTATGTTAGTGCCAAAATTCAAACCCCTATCCTTAATCATAACTCAACATATACTCAACCAACTCATCTAAATTACTCTTGTTGACATTCAATAATTTTATTTTACTAATACTAACACGTGTACTATATATACATATATACATACAAAAATTATATATGGGGTGACCTGGAGGTGGGGTGAGGGGGACAGCTGCCCCCTGCCCCCTTTGGCTCCGTCCCAACCTTCTTAATTATTCATTATCATAGATATATGAATTATTACTATAAATACACAAATTACTATTGTAAGTAAAGAAATTCACTACTGTAAATACATAAATCCATTATTATTAGTGACATTTTTGAAGTTGTTTTGAAACATAATAAACAAGTTTGGTATTCTACAGGAGCAAATACCAATTTTGGTCTCACGAGTATTAGTAAAATGACGGTTTTAGTCCACATGTTTAATTCCTACCAATTTTCATCCACGATTATTGTTTTAGTACCAATTTTAATCCATGACTATTATTTTAGTACCAAAATTCATCACGTCGGTCACCCATCAATTTAAGACATCCCGAAATCTAAAAATTTTAAGGGCATTTTCGTTATTTTCAACTTAATATTCCAATTTGAGCATAAATAAATGAATTTAAGCCCTAAGATTAATCCCAATTTGCAGTTCTCCTCCCCATCCTACCTTAATTTGACGAGGAAAACTGCGAATTTGGATAGATCTTAGGGCTTAAATCCCTTTATTCATGCTCAAATATGGATCCTAATTTGAAAAGCACGAAACTACCCTTAATAATTTCATATTCCGGCATGTCTTAAACGAAGGAGTGACCGGCGTGATGAATTTTGGCACTAAAACAATAATTGTGGATGAAAATTGGTACTAAAACAATAGTCGTGGATGAAAATTGGTAGAAATTAAACATGTGGACCAAAACTATCATTTTGCTAATACTCGTGGGACCAAAATTGGTATTTGTTCTTCTACACTGACAAATGAAAATAAAACATGTTTGGGTAATTCTAAATGAAGTCATAAGAAACACCAGCAAATGTAAAATCTAGTACACCTAAAAGAAGCAAAAAGAGAAACATTCTTGGAGAGACTACAGCTTGAGGATTCAAAAAACTTCACCCTCAATAAAAGTTAAGTCCATCATAACCTTCAATCTACCACGATTTAAGTACCAACTGAGTTGTCCGTACAGACAGATTCAAAATACTTTACAACATAATACTTACTGAACAACATAGGAAACAAGGTACCATCCTTATCTTACAAGATTAATATTTCAACTTCCACCACAAACATGGCCTTACAGATCTATATTGCATCCAAACTGAACCCATGGAGCCTCATCATATTAAACACCTACAAGGTTAAAACCATATGTAATTAAATAGTCCTGACACAATGTCGCCGTGTTCCACGCAAACAATCTGGGCTTTCGGAGATATCAATATCAGCATATTCCATACTTAAAAATCTCTCTAGTGCAGGGGATTTCAAGAGCAGCATTTTCACAAAAAACTTTTCAGGTGTAGATCCACTAAACCCTTCAATCATGACTGTGTTAAGAATCTTCAGATCCTGCTTGCAACTGTTTGGATCCTCCAACAGTCTTGTACCCGTTGTAATATCACACAAGAAGAAATGAACAAGTGAATAACACATACAACCATGAGGAAACGAAACAATCATGAATTCATGATCGCGAAATATATAGTCCATAGGTTTCGTGTCTTACATTATCTGATGCAGTAATCTTCAGCTCACATAGGTTGGGGGAATGTTGAAGCAACTGCAAAACAAAGGCAAGCTTCTCTCCACATGAAAAACTTAACTCATACAGCTCAATCACTCGCAAATTTATTGCGGTCGGGAATGTCGTTGTGGCTATTCCTGCATTTTTACACTTCAAAAAAAAAAAAAAATCATATGTGCATTGAAGAACTCTGTCAATACTAACAATCAATCCATTTGCATAAACTACTCATAAAGGAAAAGAATGCAAAAGTAGAGATTCTCACAGGCAACAAATTGGCACTCAAGCAAAGAGTCGTAATTGTTCTCAAATACAGGGTAAACCACCTGGAATCATCAAGCTACCAACACAGAGAACCGATAACCCTCAAGCTTTTAAGTTTTGGACTGCTGATCTCAAAATTAGTGATCCCTTTACAACGACTGAAAGACAGCTCCTCAAGATTAGGAATTCTGTACACAATTCCCTTAACATTATCACTAATGAAGTGGCGCTGGGAAATATACAACGAGGGATCGACAAATCAAAAATTAAATCACCCAGAAACAATTGCTTAACTGTCCGGCAGGAAAATATACAAGATGGCAGCTGATGATTATCCGAAATAAACAAGCTAAGTTCCTGTAGACCATTTCTCGAAAGAAAACGACACCACCTATCTAAATCAGACTGCTGGGGCTTAGGATCCAATGCGTAGCAAACGTGTAAAGTAAATTCCTTAACGGGTCCAACACTGAGCATTAGAATATCATTTATTGCGCTAATCTGAGCCATACCTTTCTCATCTTCGTACTTTGAGAAGCATTTGAAGAATTCCCTATCAAACACAAGCCGCCCAAGCCGCAACCAAACATGGTTCCAGTGAGTTGAGAGCAGAGCATTTCTGGCCGCGTCTCGAGTTGGCAAGCACTCCAAAATCCTTTCCTTCACTTCTGCTGGCAGTTCACTTATTACCTCCCTTCCTGCATCCGCTTCGGATTTTCTTTGACGACAACTCGCCATTAAACAGGAAACAGAAGTTAAAATTGCTCAATTTTCATTGCAATTAAGCTCACTAGATGATGGAACCAAAAGAAATTTCCAAGAATTTGGGAAGAAAAAAAGAGATTAGGGAAAAAGTGTCAGAAACCCTCGCCTTCTCTGCTCCACTGTCAACTGACTGGATATTTTGACTTTTGAGTTTGGAAATGGGAAGAATACAGGAAAACTTGGAGCAGGTGTGGGTTATAAATAAAACTATAAATTCATTATTTGAAAGTCTCAGAAACCCTCGCCTTCTCTACTCCACTGACCAGTGACCACTGTCTAGTGTCTACTGCCAGATGTTTTGATTTTTGAATTTGGAAGAATACAAATAATATATTTGAATGTTAAAACTTAAAAGTATTCTACTAAATGATATACATTTAATATATAAATAATATACTTTAATATATTAAAAATGTATTTTTTATTAAAAAAAAGTACATTATTTGAATATTAATAATATATTATTTTATATAATATACGTTCAGTGAGTGATGAGATTAGTATATTTTCAATGGAAATTCTTTGATAATATTTTGAGATTTATGCCAATTGGAATGCTAAAATTATAATTAGGAATATCAATTCAAGCCAACCTGAGTCTCACCCGAATAGGCGACGGAGACGGGGATGCAACACCCCCCACTGATCTCCTAACCCTGACCATGAATCCCAATAATGCATATTGTAATATACTAATATTTTATTTTATTTTTTCAAATTATAATATTTGGATTTTTGGTACATATTGACTTTAATTTGTAGTAAAAATTCATTAGATATTAGTTAATTTTCAAATAAAATTGTTATCAATTAAGCTTTATTAATTTTTTTACTAATTAATTAATATTCATATTAATTTGGGCTGGATTGTTGTAAAGGACAATTTTACTTTTATTAGAGTCATTTCACTAAGGAAATTAAAACTAATTAAAGGAAATCTAATCATTCTATATTTATTTGTAACTGTATATTAATTTCATTTTGAAATCATTGGTTCACATATTTTAATTATTTATTTTTTCTTTAATTATTCTCATTGTAAACATAAATGATATTGCAATAATTAATTTATGATATTTATCATATTGTATTTTTTTAAATATAAAATTTTCTCATGTTTAGGGATTAAAAAATATTTTAAAATTATTTTTTATTAGTATGTATTTTTATTTTTAAAATATTTTCCAGCAACCCAAACACTCTATTAGTCTCTAATAAAAAACTGAAAAAATAAAAGTCATTTCATTAAGAAAATTAAAACTAATTAAAGTAAATCTAATCATGTTATATTTATTTGTAACTGTATATTAATTTCATTTTAAAATCATTGGTTCACATCTTTGAATTATTTATTTTTTTCTTTAACTATTATAAACATAAATTATGATATTTATCAAATTATATTTTTTAAAAAAAATAACATTTGCACATGTTATGAGAAGTTAACAAATATTTTTAAATTATATTTTATTAGTATGTATTTCTATTTTAAAAAAGGGTAAATTGTAAAAAATGCCCCTCTATAATATGTCAATTATCAATGTCACCCTTGAATTATGAGTGGTGTAAATGTTGCCCCTCAATTATTAAAATAGTGCACCTATAGCCCCTCCCGTAACGGACCTGTGGTTTCCCATCGCTGTCCATTACTGGTACTTCGAATCGAGGGAGGGGAAAAACAACTAAATTACATATTTACTCCGACTTAACGGTGTCGTACACTAACGGGGAACCACATGTCCGTTACGGGAGGGGCTATATGTGCACCGTTTTGATAATTGAGGGTCAACATTTACACCACTCATAATTTAGAGATGACATTGATAATTGACATATTATAAAGGGGCATTTTTTTTACAATTTTCCCTTTAAAATATTTTCCAGCAAAACACTCCTTTAGCCTCCCATAAAAAACTGATAAAGAAAAGTCATTTCATTAACGAAATTAAAACTAATTAAAGTAAAACTAATCATGCTATATTTATTTGTAACTGTATATTAATTTCATTTTGAAATCATTGGTTCACATATTTGATTTTTTTAATTATTATAATTTATAAAAAGTGACATTGTACTAATTAATTTATGATATTTATCAAGGGAAAATTGTAATTTATGCCCCTCACAAATATGTCAATTATCAATGTCACCCCTGAATTATCAGTGGTGTAAATGTTGCCCCTCAATTTTCAAAACGTGACATATATTGCCCCTCTCCTAATATGAAGAAGGAGAAAAATTGTTGTCGACCGAAGGAGAACAATCGAAGAAAGAAAAATTGAGGAAAAAAATGTGGTCTTCGAACAAGAAAGACGACGGGTAACCACATTTACATCACTAATAATTCAGGGGAGGGGCAATGTATGTCACGTTTCGAAAATTTAGGGGTAACATTTACACCACTAATAATTCAGGGATAACATTAATAATTGGCATATTTGTGAGGGGCATAAATTACAATTTTCCCTATTTATCAAATTGTATTTTTTTAAAAATATAAGATTTACACATATTATGAGGGGTTACAAAATATTTTAAAAATATTTTTTATTAGTAAGTATTCATTTAAATAATTTTCAGTAACTCAATCACTCCCTTAGTCTCCCATAAAAAATTGATAAAGAAAAGTCATATCATTAAGGGAATTAAAACTAATTAAAGTAAATCTAATCACGCTATATTGATTTGTAACTGTATATAAATTTCATTTTGAAATTATTGGTTCACATATTTGAAGTATTTATTATTTTCTTTAATTATTATAAATATAAATGATATTGTACTAATTAATTTATAATATTTATCAAATTGTATTTTTTTTAAACATAGTGTTTTAACCGTGCGTTGCACGGAATTTTTTTTCCGTCATTATGAATTTAAAATTACCCGTGCGTTGCCATACGATATCTTACATAAGGCAAATTGATATAAAATTTAATCTAGAATTGTAGTAGGAATAGGAAAGTAGGAAATAATATATTGTATTAGGGATTGTATTACCATATTTTAATGTACAATTATAGTATGAATAGGAAATGTATTACCATATATTTTATAATATTATGCAAACCTTAACCGGACGTTTGGTTGAAGGGAATTTAAATTCCCTTCCCACGTAATTCCAAAGGCCACAAAATTCCCTTATTTGGTTGAAAGGAATTGCAATTCCATGGAATTGTAATTCCCCCATTTTCATGGAATTAAAATCCCATGTCCCCCCTGGGATTTTAATTCCTGAGATTTTAGGAAGAAAAAAAGATAGTGATGAGTCAAAATTACCCCTTCATTTTTTAACCTAAAATTAATGACTAACAACAACAATAGACATTTTTGACTTTATACTCCTTATTCCCTTTCAATTCCCATGTATACCAAACATTGGAATTGAAATTCACAGTAATTCTATTTTCGTAAACCAAACACTGGAATTTAAATTCTCACTTTATTTCCAGTAATTCATCTCCCATGGAATTACAATTTCTTTCCCACATAATTCCCCCTTCTCCAACCAAACGCCCTGTAATAGTATAGGAATCTTTTGGGCGGGAAGTTAAAATGGAGAATTTTGTTTTTATATATATAGTATAGATTACTGATTGTTTTAATAAGTTTATTATTATTATTATTATTGAGTTAATACCATTTGAGGTCCTTCGAGTATATTGGTTTTGCCACGTTTAGTCCTAAACTTTCAAATTGACCATTTGTGGTCCTTCGACTTTCAAATTTAACCATTCGTGGTCCAAGTTAACCACCTATGGTTCTTCAAGTTTTGAAATTTAACCTATCGTGGTCCTTTTGAAAGGACCATGGTTAGTTAAAATTTAATAGTTGAAGGACCATGGGTGGTTAACTTGGACCACGAATGGTTAAATTTGAAAGTCGAAGGACCACAGATGGTCAATTTGAAAGTTTAGGACTAAACGTGGCAAAATCATTATACTCGAAGGACCTTGGATGGTATTAACTCTATTATTATTATTATTATTATTATTATTATTATTATTATTATTATTATTATTATTATTATTATTATTATTATTATTATTATTATTATTATTATTATTATTATTATTATTATTATTATCATTATTATTAAATTTATGCAATTAATTATTAATATTCATTTTTATTCTATTATTTTCGCACAATCTTCCTTATAAATTCTTGATAGTACCAATTGTTTTCCATTTTCCCCTTTTCAGGGAAATAATCATATTATTAATAAAAGTTTGGGTTGGAAATTACACAGGAGAATTTTATTTTTATTAATAGTATAGAAAACATTAATTTCATTAGATTTTAAATAAATGTTACCATAATTGTATGTAGTAATTTGTCATATATAAGTTTATTACTTTAATAATATTAATCATATGATAATCTATTCTATTAATAAAAAAAAAAAATCCTCCATGCATAACACAAAGACAACAATAAAAAATACGATAAGATACTCAGTACGTAAAACACAACCCACCATTTTTTTAAAAATTGAATGAAACAAATAATCCATACTCTAAAAACAAACAAATATAAGAAAATTAGTTTTTTTTTTAATAAGAATTTAATTACAGGAAATCAAATTTAGGTCAATAAAAGTAAAAAAAAATACTAAATGGTACTTTCAAACATGCACATACATGGATATTTTAATCTACTAGACTTCAATTCTTTCTCAGAACCAAAAGAAGTATCTTCATCACATGAAGAGGAACCGTTTTCCACTACATTATTCTAAATCTTGCCACCCGACCATTTTTTTTTTCTCTATAACTTGTTTTAAAGCTAAATCCTTTTTCTGCTTTTCTGTAATTTAAAAAGAAATTATATATTCATATCCGTGTCTATATAATTACTCTATATATATTTCATAAATATTCCACGTGTGACTAATTAGTTATGGAAATAAATAATATTATGGTAATTAATTGATTAGTTTATAAAATTTATTCGGTTTGAAGTTTAGTTGACTAAAATTTAATTAATTATAGAAATTATATATTCATATCTATGTGTATATAATTACTCTATATATATTTCATAAATATTCCGTGTGTGAGAATTTAGTTATGGAAAGAAAGAATATTATGGTTATTAATTGACTAGTTTATAAAATTTATTCCGTGTGAAGTTTAGTTGACTAAAATTTAATTAATTATAAAAATTATATATTCATATCCATGTATATAATTACTTTATATATATTTCATAAATATTCCGTGTGTGACTAA